CCGACCGAGAATTCCCAAATTCCGAACAAGAATCCCAGAATTTCGACCAAGAATCCCTAAATTCCGATCAAAACCCCCCAAATTTCGATCAAAAAACCCCAAATTCCGATCAAACCCCCCCAAATTCCGATCAAAACCCCCCAAATTTCGATCAAAAAACCCCAAATTTCGACCACGAATCCCTAAATTCCGATCAAAACCCCGCAAATTTCGATCAAAAAACCCCAAATTTCGACCAAGAATCCCTAAATTCCGATCAAAAACCCCCGAATTTCGATCGAAAAACCCAAAATCTCATCTAAAATCCTCAAATTCCAATGGAAAATCCCCAAATTCAAATGAGAATCCCCAATTCTGACAGAAAATTCCCAAATTCCGATCAAAAATCCCCAAATTTTGACCAAGAATTCCCAAATTCTGATCAATAAACCCCCAAATTCCGACAGAAAATCCCCAAATTCTGAGCAAAAATCCCCAAATTTTGGCCAAAAATCCCCAAATTCTGGCCAAAAATCCCCAAATTCTGAGCAAGAATCCCCAAATCCAAATGAGAATCTCCAAATTCTGATCAAAAATCCCCAAATTCCCATCAAAAATCCCCAGATCCCAATTGACAATTCCCAAATTCCAATCAAAAATCCCCAAATTCTCAACGACAATTCCCAAATTTTGACCAAACATCCCCAAATTCTGATGGAAAATCCCCAAATTCCGATTGACAATCCCCAAATTTTGACCGAAAATCCCCAAATTCCGATCGACAATCCCCAAATTTTGACGAAGAATCCCCAAATTCCGAACAAGAATCCCCCAATTTTGGCCAAAAATTCCCAAATTCCCATCAAAAACCGTCAAATTCCAATCAAAAAATTCCCAAATTCCGACAGAAAATCCCCAACTTCTGAATAAAAACCCCAAATTCTGATGAAAAATCCCCAAATTCCAAGCGAGAATTCACAAATTTCGACCAAAAATCCCCGAACTTTGACCAAGAATCCCCAAATTTTGACCAAAAATCCCCAAATCCCATCGAAAATTCCCAAATTCCAATCAAAAATCCCCAAATTCCAAGTGCGAATCCCCAAATCCCAATCAACAATTCCCAAATTCCAAGTGCGAATCCCCAAATCCTGAACAAAAATCCCCAAATCCCGAACAAAAATCCCCAAATTTCGGCCAAAAAACCCCAAATTTTAACTTAGAATCCCCAAATTTTGCCCAAAACCCCCCAAATTTTGACCAAAAACCCCCAAATTCCGCTGGAAACCCCCAAATCCCGGTGCAGAATTCCCAATTTTCCCGTTTTCGGGCATTCCGGTCACCTGGAGCTTCCTGGCCATGGCAAAACGCCCAAATTTTGACCAAAAACCCCCAAACCCCGGTGCAGAATTCCCAACTTTCCCGTTTTTGGGGCACTCCGGTCACCTGGAGCTTCCTGGCCATGGCCACCACGTCGTGGTCGGGCGGGTTGTACTTGTAGCAGTTGGAGAACATCAACCGCACGTCGGCGGCGAACTCCTGCGCGTCGCGGTACTCCCGGTTCTCCATCTTCCGCTGCCGGGAAGCGAGAGCGGAGGAGGGGTCAGCGGGGGCGTGGAGAGGTCAGCGGGGGCGTGGAAGGGTCAATGGGGTCAAGGAAGAGTCAATGGAAGAATGGAAGGGTCAATGGGGTCATGGAATGATCAACGGGATCATGGAAGGTCATGGAATGGTCAACGGGGTCATGGAAGGGTCAACGAAGTCATGGAATGGTCAATGGGGTCATGGAAGAGTCAACGGGGTCATGGAAGGGTCAATGGGGTCATGGAAAGGTCAATGCAGTCATGGAATGGTCAACGGGGTCATGGAAGGGTCAACGGGGTCATGAATGGTCAATGGAGTCATGGAAGGGTCATGGAAGGGTCAATGGGGTCATGCAAAGGTCAACAGGGTCATGGAAGGGTCAAGGGGGTCATGGAAGGGTCAAGGGGGTCATGGAAAGGTCAATGGGGACGTGGAAGGGTCAACGGGGTCATGGAATGGTCAACGAGGTCACGAGGGGCCAATGACGTCATGGAATGGTCATGGAAAGGTCAACGGGGTCATGGAAAGGTCAACAGGTTCAGGAATGGTCAATGGAGTCATGGAAGAGTCAATGAGGTCATGGAAAGGTCAATGCGGTCATGGAAGGGTCAATGGGGTCATGGAATGGTCAATGGAGTCATGGAAGGGTCAATGGGGTCATGGAAGAGTCAATGAGGTCATGGAAGGGTCAATGGGGTCATGGAAAGGTCAATGGAGTCATGGAACGGGTCAATGGGGGCATGGAAGGGTCATCGGGGTCATGGAAGGGTCAACGGGGTCATGAATGGTCAATGGAGTCATGGAAGGGTCATGGAAGGGTCAATGGGGTCATGCAAAGGTCAACAGGGTCATGGAAGGGTCAAGGGGGTCATGGAAGGGTCAAGGGGGTCATGGAAAGGTCAATGGGGACGTGGAAGGGTCAACGGGGTCATGGAATGGTCAACGAGGTCACGAGGGGCCAATGACGTCATGGAATGGTCATGGAAAGGTCAACGGGGTCATGGAAAGGTCAACAGGTTCAGGAATGGTCAATGGAGTCATGGAAGAGTCAATGAGGTCATGGAAAGGTCAATGCGGTCATGGAAGGGTCAATGGGGTCATGGAATGGTCAATGGAGTCATGGAAGGGTCAATGGGGTCATGGAAGAGTCAATGAGGTCATGGAAGGGTCAATGGGGTCATGGAAAGGTCAATGGAGTCATGGAACGGGTCAATGGGGGCATGGAAGGGTCATCGGGGTCATGGAAGGGTCAACGGGGTCATGGAAGGTTTAACGGGGTCATGGAAGGGTCAATGAGGTCATGGAATGGTCAGTGGAGTCATGGAAGGGTCATGGAAGAGTCAGCGGGGGCGTGGAAGGGTCAATGGGGTCAAGGAAGAGTCAATGGAAGAATGGAAGGGTCAATGGGGTCATGGAATGATCAACGGGATCATGGAAGGTCATGGAATGGTCAACGGGGTCATGGAAGGGTCAACGAAGTCATGGAATGGTCAATGGGGTCATGGAAGAGTCAACGGGGTCATGGAAGGGTCAATGGGGTCATGGAAAGGTCAATGCAGTCATGGAATGGTCAACGGGGTCATGGAAGGGTCAACGAAGTCATGGAATGGTCAATGGGGTCATGGAAGAGTCAACGGGGTCATGGAAGGGTCAATGGGGTCATGGAAAGGTCAATGCAGTCATGGAATGGTCAACGGGGTCATGGAAGGGTCAACGAAGTCATGGAATGGTCAATGGGGTCATGGAAGAGTCAACGGGGTCATGGAAGGGTCAATGGGGTCATGGAAAGGTCAATGCAGTCATGGAATGGTCAACGGGGTCATGGAAGGGTCAACGAAGTCATGGAATGGTCAATGGGGTCATGGAAGAGTCAACGGGGTCATGGAAGGGTCAATGGGGTCATGGAAAGGTCAATGCAGTCATGGAATGGTCAACGGGGTCATGGAAGGGTCAACGAAGTCATGGAATGGTCAATGGGGTCATGGAAGAGTCAACGGGGTCATGGAAGGGTCAATGGGGTCATGGAAAGGTCAATGCAGTCATGGAATGGTCAACGGGGTCATGGAAGGGTCAACGAAGTCATGGAATGGTCAATGGGGTCATGGAAGAGTCAACGGGGTCATGGAAGGGTCAATGGGGTCATGGAAAGGTCAATGCAGTCATGGAATGGTCAACGGGGTCATGGAAGGGTCAACGAAGTCATGGAATGGTCAATGGGGTCATGGAAGAGTCAACGGGGTCATGGAAGGGTCAATGGGGTCATGGAAAGGTCAATGCAGTCATGGAATGGTCAACGGGGTCATGGAAGGGTCAACGAAGTCATGGAATGGTCAATGGGGTCATGGAAGAGTCAACGGGGTCATGGAAGGGTCAATGGGGTCATGGAAAGGTCAATGCAGTCATGGAATGGTCAACGGGGTCATGGAAGGGTCAACGAAGTCATGGAATGGTCAATGGGGTCATGGAAGAGTCAACGGGGTCATGGAAGGGTCAATGGGGTCATGGAATGGTCAATGGAGTCATGGAAGGGTCAATGGGGTCATGGAAGAGTCAATGAGGTCATGGAAGGGTCAATGGGGTCATGGAAAGGTCAATGGAGTCATGGAACGGGTCAATGGGGGCATGGAAGGGTCATCGGGGTCATGGAAGGGTCAACGGGGTCATGGAAGGTTTAACGGGGTCATGGAAGGGTCAATGAGGTCATGGAATGGTCAGTGGAGTCATGGAAGGGTCATGGAAGAGTCAGCGGGGGCGTGGAAGGGTCAATGGGGTCAAAGAAGAGTCAGTGGGGTCATGGAAAGGTCAACGGGGGCATGGAATGGTCAATGGAGTCATGGAAGAGTCAATGGGGTCAAGGAAGAGTCAATGGAAGAATGGAATGGTCAATGGGGTCACGGAATGGTCAATGAGATCACGAGGGGTCAATGAGGTCATGGAAGGGTCAACGGGGTCATGGAAAGGCCAACGGGGTCATGGAAGAGTCAATAAAGTCATGGAATGGTCAACGGAATCATGGAAGGGTCAATGGAGTCATGGAAGCGTCAATGGGTCACAGAAGAGTCAATGGGGTCAAGGAAGAGTCAACCACTCTCTTGAACCCAAGAATTTGATGAAACTCCAAGAAACTCCAAAAAATCCTCCAAAAAATCCCAAAATTTCTCAAAAAAATGCAAAAAAATCTCCAAAAAATCCCCAAAATTTCTCCAAAAAATCCCAAGACCCTGACCTTGATGGTGCTGAGATCCATGGGATGCTTGATGATCTCGTGGTAGTCGTGGAGTTACGGGGTCATGGAAGAGTCAACTGGGCCATGGAAGAGTCAATGGAGTCATGGAAGAGTCAACTGGGCCATGGAAGAGTCAATGGAGTCATGGAAGAGTCAACTGGGCCATGGAAGAGTCAATGGAGTCATGGAAGAGTCAACTGGGCCATGGAAGAGTCAATGGAGTCATGGAAGAGTCAACTGGGCCATGGAAGAGTCAATGGAGTCATGGAAGGGTCAACAAGGTCATGGAAGAGTCAACTGGGTCATGGAAGAGTCAATGGAGTCATGGAACGGTCAACGAGGTCAAGGAAGGGTCAATGAAGTCATGGAAGGGTCAACAAAGTCATGAATGGTCAATGGAGTCATGGAAGAGTCAACTGGGTCATGGAAGAGTCAAAGAGGTCATGAAATGGTCAATGGGGTCAAGGAAGAGTCAACAAGGTCATGGAAGAGTCAACAACTCTCTTGAACCCAAGAATTTGACGAAACCCCAAGAAACTCAAAAAATTCCTCCAAAAAACCTCAAAAAACTCAAAAAAACTCCAAAATTTCTCAAAAAAACTCCAAAAATTCCCAAAAAGTCCCCCAGACCCTGACCTTGATGGTGCTGAGATCCATGGGATGCTTGATGATCTCGTGGTAGTCGTGCAGCCCCAGCGCCGACGCGTCGACGGGTTTGTAGAAGGGCCAGGCGTAGGCGGCGTGCTTTTTGGACAGCAGCTCCTTCAGGATGCCGTTGCAGTACTTGAGCTGCTCGGAAAGTTTCCCTTTCTTGGACGTCTGGTGCTGCTGCGAGTCGGGGAGGTCCTTGCGGGGCGGTTTGATGGGCCGGCCGCTCTCGCGGCGCGCCGGGATCTTGGCGGCTTTGGGGGTGTCGCCGATGGAAGGGGAGGACTCGCCGCCGCTCGTGGCGATGATGGCCGTGGTGGTGGGCGTGGTGGTGTCGGCTTTCCGCTTGACGCCTTTTTTCTGGGGGGTGGGGAAAGGCCAAAAATCCAATTTGAGGAGATAAAAATCCAATTTTAGGGGACAAAATCCCATTTTAGGAGCCAAAAATCCCATTTTAGGGGACGAAAATCCCATTTTAGGAGCCAAAAATTCCATTTTAGGACCCAAAATTCCATTCCAAGAGCCAAAAATCCAATTTTAGGACCCGAAATCCCATTTTAGGAACCAAAAATCCCATTTTAGGAGCTAAACTTCCATCCCAAGAGCCAAAAATCCAATTTTAGGACCCAAAATTCCATTCTAGGAACCAAAATCCCATTCCACGGTAAAAATTTCCATTTTAGCACCCAAAAATCCAATTTTTGGAGCCAAAATTCCATCCCAAGAGCCAAAATCCAATTCCAGTGTCCCAAAATTCCGTTCCAAGAGCCAAAAATCCCATTTTAGGACCCAAAATCCCATTCCAAGAGGCAAAGTCCAATTTTAGGAGACAAATTCCCACCATCTCAAAATTCCCCAAGTTCCCTCAAAATCCCCCAATCCCAAACCCCGAAAGTCCCCAATCCCAATCCCAAAAACCCCCCAAATTCCCCCTAAAATCCCCAAATCCAAACCCCAAACTCTCCAAAATCCCACCCCAAACCCCCCCAAAATCCCCCAAAATCCCCAAATCCCCCCCAAAACCCCTGAAAGATTTGGGGTCCCTAATAGGACACAAAAATCCTGAGAAAAGGGATTTGGGGACATAAAAATCCTGGGCAAAGGGATTTGGGGACACAAAAAACCTGGGAAAAGGGATTTGGGGACACAAAAAACCTGGGAAAAGGGATTTGGGAACTCTAAAGAACACAGAAATCCCAGGAAAAAGGGATTTGGAGACACAAAAAACCTGGAAAAATGGGTTGGGAAACACAAGAAACCTGGGAAAGGGATGCGGAATCTCTAAAGGACACAGAAATCCTGGGAAAAGGGATTTGGGATCCCTAAAGGACACAAAAATCCTGGGAAAGGGGATTTGGGAACATAAAAATCCTGGGAAAAGGGATTTGGGGCCACAAAAAGTCTGGGAAAAGGGATTTGGGAACATAAAAATCCTGGGAAAAGGGATTTGGGACGTCCTAAAGGACATAAAAAAGGTGGGAAAAGGGATTTAGGCACATAAAAATCCTGGGAAAAGGGATTTGGGGACACAAAAAGTCTGGGAAAAGGGATTTAGGCACATAAAAATCCTGGGAAAAGGGATTTGGAGACATAAAAAGATTTGTATTTTTCACCCCAAAATCAGATTCTTTCTCCTCAATTTCAGATTTTTTTATGCTAAATTTGAGCCTTTTTTCCCCTAAAATTCCCATTTTTTCCCCAAAAATTGTCCTTTTTTCACCAAATTTTCGCGGTTTTTTCCCAAAATTGCAGTTTTTTGCCCCAAATTTCTGACCTGCGGCGCGGGCAGCCCCTTTCTTGTGGCTGTTCTTGGCCAGGGGCAGCAGCAGCTCCTTCACCCCAAATCCTGCTGTATTTTAACCCCAAATTTGCAATTTTTCCCCCCAAATTTACATTTTTCCCCAAATTTCAGCTATTTTTACCAAAATTCACATTTTTCACCCCAAAATTCAGATTTTTATCCTAAATTTGGGAGGTTTTGTCCCTAATATTCACATTTTTTGCTTAAAAATTCACATTTTTTCCCCTAAAATTCCCATTTTTCCCTAAAAATTGACCTTTTTTCACCAAATTTTCATGTTTTTTCCCCAAATTGCATTTTTTCGCCCCAAATTCCTGCCCTGCGGCGCGGGCAGCCCCTTTCTTGTGCCTGTTCTTGGCCAGGGGCAGCAGCAGCTCCTTCACCCCTATTTTAGTGCCTTTTAACCCAAAATTTGGGGGTTTTTTTCAAAATTCACTCTTTTTTTGTCGAATTTTACCTATTTTTACCAAAATTCACATTTTTCACCCCAAAATCACATTCTTTATCCTCCATTTCAGATTTTTTATCCTAAATTTGGGGTTTTCCCCCCTCAAAATTCACATTTTTTCCTTAAAAATTCACATTTTTCGCCCTAAAATCCCCATTTTTTTACCAAAAATTCCGCCTAAAGGTAATCCCAGGCCAAAACAGAGAATTTTCAAACTGACACCTGTGCCCGAGAGGGACAAAATTTAGGCTGAGGTGGAGCAGCATCAAAGACAAAACCCAACACCCAAAATCCCCAAATAAACCCCAAAACCCCCCAAATTTTTACCGGTAAGCCGAGCTTAACGGCGTCCATGGGCTGGCAGGAACTCATTTTAGGAGCAGCTTTAAATCACTTTTAGGCTCAGCTTTAAATCCCTTTAAGATCAGCCTTAAATCACTTTCAGGATGAGGTTTAAATCCCTTTTAGGCTCAGCTTTGAAACACTTTTAGGATCAGCTTTAAATCACTCTTAGGATCAGCTCTAAAACACTTTAAGGATCAAGTTTAAACCAGTTTTAGGACCAAATTTAAATCCCTTTTAGGATCAGCTTTAAATCACTTTTAGGACCAAATTTAAATCCCTTTCAGGAGCAGATTTAAATCCCTTTCAGGATCAGGTTTAAACCACTTTTAGGCTCAGCCTAAAGGTAATCCCAGGCCAAAACAGAGAATTTTCAAACTGACACCTGTGCCCGAGAGGGACAAAATTTAGGCTGAGGTGGAGCAGCATCAAAGACAAAACCCAACACCCAAAATCCCCAAATAAACCCCAAAACCCCCCAAATTTTTACCGGTAAGCCGAGCTTAACGGCGTCCATGGGCTGGCAGGAACTCATTTTAGGAGCAGCTTTAAATCACTTTTAGGCTCAGCTTTAAATCCCTTTAAGATCAGCCTTAAATCACTTTCAGGATGAGGTTTAAATCCCTTTTAGGCTCAGCTTTGAAACACTTTTAGGATCAGCTTTAAATCACTCTTAGGATCAGCTCTAAAACACTTTAAGGATCAACTCTAAACCAGTTTTAGGCGCAGCTCTAAATCACTTTAGGATCAGCTTTAAATCCCTTTAAGGATCAGTTTTAAACCACCTTCAGGACCAAATTTAAAACCCTTTTAGGATCAGCTTGAAATCCCTTTTAGGATCAGCTTTAAATCCCTTTTAGGCTCAACTTTAAATCGCTTCTAGGCTCAGCCTAAAGTTAATCTCAAGCCTAAACACAGAACTTCAATGTTGACACCTGTGCCTGAGAGGGACAAAACTTGAGCTGAGGTGGAGCAGCATCAAAGACAAATCCAAACACCCAAAACTCCAAAAAAACCCCAAAACCCCCCAAAATTTTACCGGTAAGCCGAGCTTAACGGCGTCCACGGGCTGGCAGGAACTCATTTTAGAACCAGATTTAAGTCACTTTTAGGCTCAGCTTTAAACCAGTTTAGGATCAGGTTCAAATCACTTTCAGGATCACCTTTGAAACCCTTTTAGGCTCAGCTTTAAATCCCTTTCAGGCTCAGCTTTAAATCACTTTTAGGACCAAATTTAAATCCCTTTTAGGATCAGCTTTAAATCACTTTTAGGACCAAATTTAAATCCCTTTCAGGAGCAGATTTAAATCCCTTTCAGGATCAGGTTTAAACCACTTTTAGGCTCAGCCTAAAGGTAATCCCAGGCCAAAACAGAGAATTTTCAAACTGACACCTGTGCCCGAGAGGGACAAAATTTAGGCTGAGATGGAGCAGCATCAAAGACAAAACACCCAAAATCCCCCAAAAAAAAAAATGGTAAATGAAGGGTTAAAAGTTAATCCTGTGGGGTTTCGCGAAGAAATTCCTACAAAAAACAGGAAATTGAGGCAAAAAACGCGGTTAAAA